GAAACAAGAGAACGATTGAAAACAGAAAAGTGTCAAACTCAAAACATAACAGCAAAAACACCCAAATTATGCTGCATAGTACCCCACAGGTTTTTGTCATTAACGAAACTGGTTTTCCGGCAAAAAAATCTTCTAGCTAAGAGAATTGAGACTGGCCACCAGGACTGTCTGAAAATATCCCCTTAAATTTTCAACTTTCTAGCTTTTCAGTTCTCGAGTTTCTGCTGGACGCATTTATTAAGACCTTCGACGTAACTCAGCAGCAGTCAACTACAGATGCGGATATGCAAATTTTTGCCAATAACAACGATGAAATCAGTCAAAACCGGTTAACGACTAGTATAACTTAAGCCCTAAAACTCGGCCGCCCGGCATAGCCCCCGATCAGTATTCCGTTGAAAAGAGGATGTAGTAAATTCTTAGAATGGTACAGGGGTAGGGTTTTGACCTTTTACCCAGTCGCAGCGGACCATAAGCTTTGCCCAAATTTTGTTCCGAAGTTTAGGCAGTTTTTCAAAATATGACAGTACTCTCACCCCTACGAAAAATCACCGCCCTTTTTTACCCCCAAACCACCATAAAGTGATTCGTTAAGAAAGTTAATATTTGCAAGTTTTAGCACTTGCGAGGCACTTGACTTCCTTAACAGCATTTTCACTGATCAAAGCCAAACAGTCTTTTCCGCTGAAAAAAAAAAATTGGTTAACAAAGGGCTTAGAGCTGAAGAATCAATCACGAACACTTACTAATCACGTTCGAAGACATCGATACTGATTGATATATCATTGCCCTCTTCTGTTTTTGTTGAAACATGTTTGCATCTAAACTTTAATTACTTTATCTGCCGACTCAAAAGGCCCAAATGCTCACATAGAGTAATAACTAAATATTATAAGTTCATAGCTGGGTTATATTCGGAATTTTTCTTTTCATAAAATAAAAAATATTAGAAAAGCTCAAAAATTATCTTTGATAAAAAGAAAGCCTTCAAAATATTATGCTTTACAAGAATATCTATTTCATCAATTGTTTTCTCTGCTGCTGCTGCTACCATTAAGGCCAAGGTCACATGCCAAAAATCTTTAAATGCCGCAATCGAAAAAAAAAATTACAACTAGGCTTGTATTCACGCTTAAAAGTCGCAGCAGTATCATAATTAAAGCCGTAACCAAATTCGGCCACAGGCATTTTAAGGCGGAGAGAGCGATGAGCCTTTCCCATCGGCACAAATACTAAAGCTACAAAATCCCGGGTCTAAAGCTAAAATCGAAGAAAATTTTCCTCCGCACTCCCTGTCAATCCTCTCCCACGCCTTCCCAGGAGCCTCACTTCTCCTCCGTGGCGGTTCAGTTCCTCCCCCTCCCCCCAGGAAGCCGCCCCGGACTCGCCTGTGGATTCGGCTATCATATTCCATTTTGCCAAGAACTTAACAACACCTGTAACTCCGCATAAATCAGTAAGGACGAAATCTCCCCACATTCCAGCTCTAGCAAGAAGCACTTAGAACCCACTCATCAAGTACCGCCTTCCCATTCGGGAGAAACCTGCACCCTAAGTATTTTCAACAAATTTCAGCTTTAGCGGTGATGCAGTTCAAAAAAAAAACCGATAGTGAAATCGAACTTATCGCAAGTGATATAATCATTCAGTACAAATGTAAAATTCGTTCTGATAGGATTCTCTTTCCGCCTTTCCTCGATTTCCTGCTTTCCAAATTGTTCACACAACACTTTATCACATTCCGCTCCCACTTTATCCATCAAATATGCTAAGAATTCATGCGCATCCTAAAAAAAAAAAATGTATTTTTATGAAAATGTCCTAAGAAAAACTGAAAAATGAAAATTTTTTGAAAATGAGAATGAGAAAAACCGAAAAAAAAGAGGAATAAAAAAAAGGTGGATAGATTTTACATTAAAACAAAAAGACTGCAAATTTTGGCAATCCTTCCCTCCCCAGATGTCTGTCACAAGAGTGAGAGATATGGGAAGAGAGAAAGACTGCGCAAAGCCCGTCCTCTCAAGAATTGCCGGATGTGTCTACGAAAATTCCTGAAGTTTCTTCTTACCATATTTTAATAAGCACTTTTTATGTTTGCGTATTGTTACAGCTTAAAACACTCCAAAGCGTCCAGGAACGCCGGGCATCCTTGGAGGGGAGGAATTGGGTCTTCCGGTTGGGCGTTGACCGGAGGGAGGGGAGCGATCAGGGGTGCGGCAGACAGCTTTCTTTAGTTTGAGCTTTAGGCTCAGCTGCACTGGTACCTATGTCGCTGGGAAGGCTCACCGCCCCCCTGCCCTCTTCTTCCCCTAGCTCTGCCCACGCCCCAAAGACATTCCGAAACGACTAAAACCTTGCTAAACGCAACCGTCAGGAATACCGCTGAGTTGGTAATCCCTTCACGAAACGAGATGGACATCAAAACTGTCAGCAGGGTGACCATCAGGCGATTGAAAAGTTATCAGTTGCACAGTTTGAAAACCAAATTACGAATTAGCACTTGATCCAGAGTGACTTTCCTATCAGTGCACAGTTTCCCAGCTTTTATGAAATTT